TCTTCAGTGGATTTTGTAAGGGTGTTAAGAGAGCTATCCAGGTCATCTTCATAGCTTTGAGCTTAAGTTGTCAAATCAGTGCCCCTTTAGAAGTGCAGTCCTTAATGCCCAGCTGATGCCCTTGAAGATAGAATAGTCCTTCGCATTTGACGAGTGCGTAGAGAAGTGTTGTTGGATGAAGACCGGAAAGCCTGTCGCAAAGAGCTAGAAAGTTTAAAGATACTGCCCGTTAGGCCGCTTTTAGGGTTGCGAAGCATCGCAAGTCAAAAACGCAGTCAGAATAGTCGCCAATCCTGGCAAATCAGGACGATTCAAAAATCCGCGGCACAGGAGAGACTTCGAAGAGGTAAGCTCTGCTGCACGATTTGATCAGCTCGGATGCAGCTTTGAAGATGCCTCCCCTTTCAGGAAGGCTTGAAAAAAAAGTTTGATGTGTTGGCGGTTCGCCACAATGTTGTTGCCCACGCCTGAAACCTGATGTTACATTCTAATTGGAACCAATCCGCGGATAAGTTTTCTTTGCCTGTTTGCAGTGGTTTTTGCATCTGTTCACAGGCTGATCACACGGCGTAGAAAAGCAAGTCGTTGAACAGTAGGGCTAGTGGTCATGTTAACGTTGCTCCCCGTGAGTTTCGCAGGACTTCAATTGGGGAGATGCTAGGTCAAAGACTGCGCCGCGTATAACGTGTCACGCAGCATCGTCATTTGCCGCATACAGAAGTTCTGGTGCATTTGTTCGTCTGTTTATAACTCTACAGCACACTCAAAATTCATTACGGGAGTCTTCGAGAAATTAATTGATGCTGCCCGCGATTTATTGTCAACATAGTAAGTGGTGGACTTGGGTGACTATATCGAAGAAGCTTGTCGTATCATCCTGTTTTGTCGTTCTGTCCTTGAAATTCATACTTTTTCAAGATCAGAAAGGAGACTCGCTTGAGAACATGTTCCTCTATAGCATGTGACTCGGAGGGGCGGTGAAGTCAGACCCTTACATAGACTCCGACTTTGGTCCGTGGCAGAGTAAGGGTTTTGTACCCGTTTGTTGGAATCTTCTCTCGTTTCTTACAGGCCCACTGAGTCTCAGCCTCCCGTTCTTTCAGGTCTTCTTAACTCCGAGCAGTCCTCCATGGAGCTCTTGCCGCCCGTCAAGGGAGGCCAATTGAGAGTTGGTGTCCTTTTCGAGTGCGACGAACGCTGCGAGCGACGGCTGCTCTGGGCGTCGGAAAAGGGGGAAGCCGGAGCGCAGACCGTCACGGAAAAGGAGGAAACGTCTCTCGAGTTCTTCTACACACCCTCCCTGCAAACAAACTCAAATGAAGGTGAAGGATCACTGCCCAGAAAGCAGATCAAGCTGCGTTTCTCAACTGAGATCACGACGGTGCGGGCGATCGAGTTAGGAAACGGGTCGGAGGTGGGGTTTCTCGTGGAGTCAAAGCACGCCCCTCTGGTTTACGAGATCAGCGGAGACGAAAATGGGTTTAAAAAGCGGTTCACCCGGACGGTCGACTTCACCCCGGGGGTTGCACTTGCAAAGAGCAACACGTACGACTTCACCCTCCCCCGCAGCCCACAGAATGAGGCGGTGTTAAACGGCTTCTTCGGGTTCTCGAATGAACTGGACTGGGTCAAGCCGCCACTTCAGGTCGACGGAAGCGTGTTTCCGGAAGCCGTTCCGCCGGAAGGCTCCGTCCCTCCGCTCTCGCCCAACGGAGATGAAGCCTTGTATCTCGAGCCTCAGGTCGATTCTTCCATTCTGCAAGCCGACTTACCGTTCGACGTCCTGTGGCTTCTCAACGCACTTCTGCAAGCGGGGCTCCTTCTGGGCGACCGACTAAAAGGCGAGTTTCTAGAGCTGGTGACGCTCCTAGTTGCGACGGGGGGAGAGGAACTAGTTGTGGTTGGGCTCGGGAAGCTCTTCGCGCAGGGGAAGCGCATCTGGGACCCGACCGCGGCTCTGTCGCGCATGACGGCTGACATTTTAAGCCTCCACACCCTGCCCCCGCGGCGCGCCCCGCCGCCGCCGCACACGGTACTCGTCTACCGGTTGGTCATCACCCCGTGCAGAGCCTTCGCTTCTCTACCGGTCGCAGAACCCTCCAACCGGTTGCTCAGAAGTTACCCCGAGCTATCCAAGGAAGGGCGGTTCCTCAGAGTTTCCTTCCGCGACGAAGACGGGGGACTTCTGTCGGGGGGGCCGCTGAAGAGCCGGGAGAGGAACCCCCCGGAAGACGGGTGGGAGCCCAGAAGCGCCGTTTACGACCGGTTCTCGAAAATCGACTTTCTTTTTGGTGGGCGCCGCTACCGTCAGCTTGCCACGTCAGCGAGCCAGGTCTGCGGGTTCTCCTTCTGGGCGTTCGCCGAGGAAGACCTTCCGGGCAGCGTTTCCCGCGACCAGATCCGGTCCGCCATGGGGGACTTCGACGGAATCCGGGAAGCCGCCAAGCACGCCGTCCGACCGGGGCTGGTTCTCTCTACCACAATTCCTACTGTAACGCTGAAAGAGGACGAAGTCGTGACGCTGGACGAAGTCGTTCGACACGGCTTGAGTTTCGCGGACGGATGCGGGCGCGTCTCCCCAGACCTCGCGGAAATGGTAGCGGCAAAACTGCCGGGAGTGGAAAACCCCAAGTCCGTCGCTGCTTTCCAGATCCGGTTCGGGGGGTGCAAGGGCATGCTCCAAGTGTTTCCGCCCTGGGCCGGGCGGAACCTCGTCGGAATCCGCCCGAGCATGGACAAGTTCCAGTCGGACCACAGGACGATCGAAGTGATCAGCTGGGCGTCCGCGCCAAAGCCCGCCTTCCTCGGCCGACAGCTCATCCAGCTCCTCGAAGCGCGCGGCATTCCCGCGCGCGTTTTCGAAACCCTCCAAGCGGAGCACCTTCGCACCTTCGACGACGTCATGCTGACGGGGCGCACTACCGCGCCCCTCCGCGCGCTCGTGGGCGCGCGCTCGCCGGCGGCCGCGCTCCTGGCGCCGCGGCCGGGAGCATCATCCGACGCGCTGTCCCCCTTCCAGTGCCGCGTGGTCGCGCGCATGCGCGAGCGCCACGTCAGCGAGCTGCGCGACCGCGCGCGCATCTACGTGCCAGATGGCGCGCTCGTACTGGGCGTCGTGGACGAGCTGAGGGTGCTCGCGCCGGGGCAGATCTTTGTGAGCCTGAGCGGTCGGGGCGTGGTTACCGGGCGGGTTATCGTCTACAGAAACCCGGGGCTTCACCCAGGGGACGTCCGGGTTTTGCGGGCGGTAGATTGTCCTGAGCTGCATCACGTGGAGAACGTGGTGGTATTCTCGGTGTTGGGACGGCAGAGGCCGGAATCGGTGAACTTGACGAACGGCGACCTGGTGAGTAAATGCAGCACGCAAAAAATCCGAGTGCCCCGACGTTGGTCGGATCTAAACGCTTGAACGTAACAATCTACTGTCTTTTTGATTGTTATGCTACATGTTTCCTGGCTTATTGGGAGGAGACTCACAGCAGAAACTTTATGCAAGAAGTTGATGGGGAAACAAGTCAGTGATGCCCTCAAGAGAGATTTATGAATTGTAGGAAAGAACAGCAGATTGTCTAGAAAGAAGACGCTATTTCTGTTCCATCGCAAATGTTCATCAAAATATACACGTGCATTACCTGGAAGATTGAAGAAGAGAAAGCATACAGAATCTTCTCCAGGAGATTCTCTCCAGCCAAAACTACGATTGCGTCGACATTCTCTGGATGAGCAACGTTCAACACGAACGAGATTGTTTTGCGTTTTCTGAAGACATCTATAAATGTGTTCAGATAGTCGTCAGATTGTTCCATTGTTTGACTGCTTTGCAGGATGGCGACAGGTACTGGGTCTTCTGGGACCAAAGACTAGTGCCCGACACGTCGCTTCCGCCGTTCAAGTACGAGAGCAGTCCGCCGATGCCACCGGAAGACCGGAATCTGACAGTGCAGGTGAAGAGCCTCTGCGTTAAGTTATCTCAAAGTCTAATGCGCCCATGATATGATTGCTAGTTGGCAAATGTAACACACCTTATACGTACTACTTGTCATCTACTGACGAAGGCGTCAGAAGAACTGCTCAGGCACATGAAGAAGAGGGAGCGAACTCGTTTGATTGTCGGTGGGAAGCGGCCTCATTTCTGGATTGATCTGCACACTCCAAAGCGCCCTGACGAAGCACGTGGGAGCTTGAGTTAAGTATCCAGTACCCTCCAAAACGCCTCGTAAAGGGTGCTTCTCTGGAGTTCGGAGCTCGATACGCGTATGATTTTGTGAAACTTATCTCGGAAACCGGATCATCAGCAAAGAGTCATCAGGGGGCCTAAGACAACCAAGCTTTCTAGACACGCTGACATCGTGGCATTTGAGAATTGCCAGACCCTTCAACCTAACCCTGGGTTTTATTTTCTATAACCCGTTTTTCCTCAGGATGACCGGTTCTTCCAGCTGAAGCACCGGCGCGAGGACAACCTAGGCGCCATCTGCGTCGCCCATATGGCGCTTTGCGACGCGCGGCCGCGCGGCGCGAACGACCCCGACTGCGCGCGCCTCGCGCAGATGGCGTTCGACGCGAGCAACTTCGTCAAGTCGGGGTTTAGCGTGGTGTTGCCCGCGGAGCTGCGGCCGCGCGCGTACCCCGACTTCATGCAGAAGCGCGGCGAGGAGAGCTACGCGAGCCAGAACGCGCTCGGTGAGTGCCCGGCGCTGACGTCACGTTTCTTACAGGGACAATCCGGTCTTCAGTAACACTTCTAAGAGTACGGTCTTAACCTGGAGTATACTACATGACCCGGTTTGCAAGGCTGAAGCTGAGTCGCAAGCCGGCTCCTATGACAGCGAGCCTTTGTCCAAGCGGAGGGAGTGGCACCAATGGTTTATGTCAGAAACCAGGCCGAGGTGTCGCGTTTTCAAGCACGCGTGCGGAGTTACTCACATTGTTTCGTTCGAATGAGTGAAATCCTGAAGACGTGGCAGCTTTACCACCACTGTTACCACCACTGATACGGTCCCCTCCAATCACTTCTCCTTATGCTATGCTCTCTTGTACTTCTTGTTCCAAAGACCCTCAAGCCTCGACTCTTGTCAGGAAGCGCCGCAGCCGCATGATCCCCGCAGTCGAATACATCCAGGTAAGGCCTTATTTCTATTGAATTTTACAAAGGGTAAGCCCCTTGCACGGTAACGTCGAAGCCCTGGGGCGGTGAAGTGAGTTAGGGGGCTAGGAAGGTGCGGCTGCGGAGCATTTGATTAGTGTTTTCTGGGGTGTCACTGGCGGGTTCGCAATTCTGTAGGGACTTCTATATGCCTCAGCAGATACCAGCGTTCATCATTCGTTAGACTTACCTGATTGGAAGCTTTCTCGACAAAAAATTCCAGACTGCTGTCTTCCTATTTTAGCAGAAGTTTGTTGCAAATCAAAAATCGACCTATTCGAAGCTTCACTCCTTCTTCTCAGGGAAGCTCTTCCGCGCCTTGGACACCGCAGAATGGAACCGCGCGGCTTTCTACCCGGCTGACGTCACGCACGGCCCGGCGCCCGCGGACGAGGCAGAGTTCCGTGACGTCAGCGTGAGCGACGCGCGCCTGAATTGGGCACGTGGCCTGAAGGCGGAGTACGACAGCAGCGTATTGGAATTGATGGACACTTATGGGCTCCAGGCCCAGGAGGATCTGATCGTGGGGGCTGCCAGTTTTGATTCGGCCGGAACAGAGCTGGACGGAGCGGAACTGGGTGAGGGGGAGGCGGAGGCGGAAGATGGCGACGAGGTAACTCTGGAGGACGAAGAAGGAAAGATGACAGGCAGTGACGTTGAGCCAAAAGGAAGAGGAACATGTTTGGAAGATGAGAATGGAGATATGGAGGTCGACAGATTGGGGGTGACAGAAGTGGGAGACACAATCGGGAAAATGGACTTGGGAGGGGGGCGGAAAGGTAGACGTAGCGAGACCAGAAGCAGAGACGAGAGGACGGAGGGTGAAGATGTAATGCGCGAAGCTCCTCGCGTTGGAGCGGACACGTCGGAGCGGCCGGAATTCTATCCGGAAAAGTCTGGTTCCAGGCCCGGAGTTCAGGGCAGGAAGGGGGGCAGCGGAAGCGGAACACGGACGGCGCAGTCAAGGAAGGAAAAGACGGAACGGCAGGAGCGCGTGGGCGCTGCCTTCGAGGCGCTGCTCGCGCATTTTCGGGAGCGACTCGACGAAGGCCCACCCGTGAGTGCGCGAGAAAACGAAGATCCGAGTAAGAAGCCAAAACTAGAGGAGAGGCACCTCAACGCCGCGGCGTGCTATCAAGCGACCTACGGAACTGCCAGTGCGGAAGCGGAGTGGTCGGGCGGAACGGCGTTCGCGACGATTGGAGGGATCGTGTACGGAAAAGCGGAAGCGGAACGGATTGGCGGAACGGCCGGGGACGTGAAGCTGAGAGGATTTTGGGAAGTCTTGGCGCGGCCGCACATCGTGGGCAGCGATGCGTGTGTAAATGGAGGGTTCAATTAGCAATCTTGTAACGGAGATAGACAAATGGGGCTTGGAATAAGTGAGCAGGAAAGGGAGAAAGTAAGACAGCCGATGGGCTTTGAAAGACGCTGTGAAGGATTTGAAAGGGCTTTGCAACTTTTTAGGGAGATGTGACTAGCTCAGAGTGACTGGTTAGCAAAGCAATAAGGCAAGAGCCTCTTAGAGAACCTGGAATTGAGGGAAGTCGCTGACATCAGCTGAACTGCGGCGAAATAAGTAGCCACTTGCTAAGGGAGTTCTTGAAGGGGTCCAGTTATTGAGCGTCTCAAGTACGTCTGCGTTGTAGTTAACCGGAACGCAGAGATCAGGAAAACTAAAGTACGAGTGAGCAGAATGTGCGGTGCAATGGTAAGACGTATTCCGTCAGAGTCCGTATGTGAGTAGACTGAAAGCTTTCCCTCCTCTTGCGGCCGAAAAAGAAGCAATCAACCTCACCTACAGATTGACGGTTGAGTACAACAGGTCGTTCATGTAACTGATTGGTGATCTCAATCAGCCCTTCACTTAGGAAAGGAGCTCTGGCAAACCCCCAAGCAACCGAAACAATCTGTGTGGATGATAGAGGCAATTTTGGGACGGAGAAAACCTCAAGCACTCACTCCCTCACATCCTAGAATCTCTCCTAGATGTTTGATTCGCACGCTAATTCGTACTCATGCAGTACGTTTATGGAGTGCGCTAACTTTCATTTTCAAGCGTTGCCGGCGGATGATCTCATAAAAAATGCGTCCGCCGTGGCTAGTAGTTTCAACTGACTTAAAAGTCTGGCTGTTCGACGATCGCGAACGTCCCGGCGCGCTCTGTAAACATGAAGGAACCTCGATCATCGAATCAGATTGAAAAGAAACCGCAACCGTCCGATAACGCCCTATGTTTTGCACATGGCCGCCGGATGCTCACCCCGCGTCAAAGTAGACACAGTCCGACGCTCGTCCCACGAGCCTCGAATCATGTCTCTTCAATTCAGGTAAAGTAAGCTCTAGATATAGTAAGCTCGGCCCAGCCTAACACTACGCTCCGCACCCGAAACCACCCTAACCCCCAAACTAACCCCACCCAGGCTGCTTGGGTTACTTCTACCTAAAGCTTACTTTACCAAATTTGAAGTGTTATCCTCGAATCGGCTGAGAGCGCCGCGGGCGCCGCATTATCGGTCCCACTTAGTATGCGACATGACATAAAATATGGCAACTTGATTGGGCGGCGTGTCAAAACGACCACGTGTCGATCATAGACCGGGGTCCGAGCAGCCGGAGATGAAGTTTGATGCAACGTCATTTGTTCGTCACTTCTTGACTTTCTAAATTTCGACGGTCAGAGTATTTCAGCCACGGTATCGTACGGCCATCTGGGAACCATTTGATATTCCTGATTTCGTCGTATAAGCGGTCGTAACGTCTCTTATATATCTTTCATTTCCACTTTTCTTCTCTTTGTTTCTCTTTTCTCTCTTCTTTCCCCCCCGCCTGTATCTCTTGGCTGTGAGTGAGACCCCACCTGTGATTTAAGCATGTTGATCAGATCCACGATAGGGCCGAGGCCCAGGGGTTCTGGAACCCAAGCTGGGCGTTAGCGGAGATACGTGCTTCGGACACGTGGCGCGGCCTTACGCTGTCCAGCTGTTGTATGGAATCGCGTGCACTGCACACAGAAATAAACCCAACTTTGTGTAGTGCTCAAATACAGCGTCCCTCTAGTGCTTCGAATGCGGGTCTGGTCGCCAAGAAATGGAGGTCCGGAAACGGGGTACATTCGCAAGTGCAAGTGGGATATCGCACATTCCTCCGGGAATGCTGACGTAAGACGGCATCAAATTAGAAGGAAAGTAGGTCAACAATGCGTCAGCAAGATGCCAGGGTGTACCTAGAATATAGTCTGTGCATCATGCACACCGACATGTACCAGCATTCAATGCACTGTGCAGGATGTCGCTCGCTTTGTGCCGGCTTTCATTCCAATTTCCGTACGAAGGTCCACATTTGAGAGCTGCCGTTGACATTTCTGAGCATCAGCCAGTGAGTACTTGCAATCAGCAATGTGGGCGCCTAGCTTTTGCAGGTGGGTAGCATCAGCTTCCCTCCTCGAGACTGTGATCGAGCGCGATCCCTCCAGCTTCAGCCCTGCTCCCTGATCAATGCGGAGGAACCCTCTTGCCCTCTTGATGGGGACTTCTCTCTAGATCTCCTTACGAAACTGGTTGTAGTCAATCCATGCTCTACAAAAGAAGAAGTCAGGAAAGCTCGAGAAAGCCTTCAACATTCTCCCTCTTTCAAAAAGCCAACATTCCACCTTCCCATAACCAGTGATCAATTGTGATCAGCTGCCAATTTCCTCAGCTCACGAATCATGGCTGCTCCCCGGCAGCGCCTCCTCACCCTCCTAGTTCTCCTCTCCTGCGCCGCTCTTTCTGCTGCCGGCTCCACCTCTCTCGTCATCAACGAAGTCGACTATGACCAACCCAGCACAGACACTGCAGAATTCGTTGAGCTCAAAAATGTGGGGGGGTCTAGCATTGCTCTCAGCGGGTGGAGTCTCCAGCTTGTGAACGGGGGGGCAAGCCCCCCTGCTGTGTACAAGACGATTGCGCTCGCCCCTGTGACGCTGGCGCCGGGGGGGTACTTTGTGGTGTGCTCAACGCAGGGGGGGACCTTGGCAAACTGCAATCAGGTAGGGGGCTGATGCGATCAGATTTCAGCCGCGAGTGTGAATAGCTGAAATATGTTGAAAGTAAGCAACCTAGGGGGCACATTGTGGCCTGAATTTGTTGAGTTAGTTTTTGGCAATCGGGGGTTCTTCACGACTCTATCTTCTCTTGATTTGAGTGTCGTGAGGGGAAACGGATGATCAATCACCTCACAGACCCTCGAATGGTTCAGCTGGGATCCAGACCTTGACTGTCACTTCTGCGTCGATAGGAAGCCCTTTGCATGCATCCACTGATGGCTTTCTGCGGTTCACTTGGCGTCAGGCGTCTACTTAACATGTATTTGAACTTGTCAATCCTGGGAAGAGAGCCCTCCCAGCTAACAAGCTTTACCGTCCTTGTCTCTCAAGATATTGTCTTACCCTTTCCTTAACCCTTTGTTGTTGAAAGGACTCCGCCCTCAAGTAATCTTCTGTGACAGAGTATAATACCCCTTGTGGTCAGTCACCTGTTTGCACCTAATAGTTTCAACTTTTGTTTTGGCGACAATCATTCCCACCCCGTCTTTTGACCAAACTCCTGCACACATAGTTCTCTCATTGCAAAGCCCATATTCTATCTCTCTGCCTGATGAATCAGCCCCCTGTCTAGTCGCTCGAGCCCTCTCCTTAACCCAGTCTCTTGTTGACACTTCTGTCTTGACCCCTCTGCCTCATACCTTAACCACTTTTCCCCCCCAGTCTCTTAGATCACCTGCCTCATGATTCCTGTCCCTGTGTCCATACCTGAACGAATTTCTAGAGCCTTATCCGCATCATTGATCACCATCTCCGAACCACTCTTCTGAACCCTCTTCATGGCTTAATATCTCTCTTACCCACTCGTTACCCACTCTTTGAACCCCTCCCTTACAGCAAGTTTCCCCCGCCACCGACCTGATCCAAAACGGAGCCAGTGACGCCATCGCCCTTGCAAACCCCTCCGGAACTATAATCGATAAAGTTTCGTACGAGGGAACAGTTCCCGGGTACTCGGAGGGCACCTCCGCAGGGACTGACGACGGGGCCGCTGCACAATCCCTCTCCAGGTCAGTATCTTCAAGCATGTCACTTTTTTGCAGCTCAGTGGTTGCACCTATTCCTTGATCTCTGTCTGCTAACAGGTGCGGGCTTACAGTCATATTGAGTGAAGAAACTGGAAGTCCAAGAGTAAGCTGAGCTCGGGATGACTTTCTTGCAAGGTGCATGCACATACTTCAGATGTTTAAGTCTCACCTGTTTAGGCCTACCGTGATATCATCAATACTGGCTTGATCTGCTTTAGATGTTGTTGAGTCTCAAGAGTGTACCCTGGTGAGAACGACCAGAATAATTTCCCGCTGTAAAGTAGTTCTCTTACTGTTATTAGATGACTGAGGTCGTTCTCTTGGACACGTTGTTTGAAGCAAGCTCTCATGCGAGGGATATGTGCTTCATTTTGCTTCCGGACTCCTTGCAACGTAGAGAACGCATGGTCCGTCTTAATGTATGGTTGTAGCCTCCATCGCAACTCTGCAAGGCTTTGCTAGAAGCTTGAAGGTTTCCAAAAAGTACCCTCTACTTTTTCTCCGTCCTTCTAAAAGCTTGAAGATCAGAGCCGTGCTATAGTCGTGCGAGCCCCTCCGCCTTGGCTTACTCACTGGAGCGAAGGCTTGCTTATTCACACGGACTCGTTCCTCCCCTTGTCTTGTTGATCCAATTGATTCATAGGTTAAGGATAGAGAACTTGTAGGCCGACTTCTTCCTTTTGAACGGCTGCAGTCGAGTCCAAGTAATAGGATACCTCTGTGACTAACCCCCTTCGCCAGTTACCCCGACGATGCTGATATGGTGTCTACTCATGGGCTTTACTTCTTTCCTTCAAGCCTTTACTAAAAGTCCTTCAAACCACCTCACTACCGTGCTTCTTTTGGTGCTTTGATGGAGCCGAAACAGACCAAAAGGGTGCCTACTTCTGGGCCATCTTCTCTACGTATAAATGAGTATGATTCGTATCTTCTTCCCCGGTATACTTCTTACCCCAACATTCCAGGTGCTTTGACGGTGCTGACACGGACGAACGCCAACCAGTGGGGCGACTCCTCTGTCTTTGAACGGGTCCTAATGGCTGAATTTGGGTCAAAGTTGAAGTCCTCACTACTCCCTTTCGATCTTGATGTGCTCCGACAGTGCTGACACAACTGACAACGGCGCCAAGATGTGGGAAGACTTCTTCGCGATTGAGCGGCTAAGTTTGCGCTCGATTGGAAAAGTTCAATCCTCCCTCCTCCAGGTGCTCCAATGGCACTGACGCAGACGACACCGGCGCCGACTTGTGGGCTGACTCTTTTATGTTTGGAAAGCTAGAATAGCATTCCGCAACCCCCTTTTCAACTTGTGGGCTGGCTTTTCATAGTTTGAACGGCTAGGATTGGGTCCAGTCAAGATACCTCACAGCATCCCACGACCCCCTCTCCAGGTGCTCCGACGGAACCGATACGGACGACAACGGCGCCAATTTCAAGCTGGTCGCCATAACTCCGGGGGCTGCCAATGCGTGCCCCTCCACTCCTGCCCCCACTTCTGCCTCCACGACCAACAGCCCCACCCCCGCTCCCAGTCAATCCACATGTGAGTAGGTCTCGCGCAAGCGCAACCGCATGATGTCACTGGGCGACCGGACAGCGTGCTCCTCTACTCCTAAGTTGCCAGGAAGAGAGTCTTTCTTTTGGTTCCTTCGCAATGCTGCTAGTGGGTTGCTTCAGAAATCCAGTGAGTTGTCTTCGTGGATTCAAGCTTTCGAATCCCTTTCGGATGCTCTGAGCTTGGACCGATAAGTGCTTTCGAAATTGACAGGGCACGTTGGTAGCGCTCAGATTCTTGATACAGGGCGCCCAGCACTTCAACCTCCGCTTTTTAAAGAAAACAAGGCGAGCAAAAAGACTTTGGCCTATCCCCGTATCTTCTTAGCTCACTTTACGGTAACTCTCATATCACCTGACAGTCGTCTGACATAAGATTCGGGTGATCCCGGAATTTGATTAAGAAAATCCTTAAGCCAAGAATACATACGCGTTCCGCAGCCGAACCTACTCTCACCACTCGATCAACCCCACCCGTCTTGCAGGCGCCCTACCTTCAGTCAAATGCTTCTTGGGTACATCAAGAGAGTCACCAGAGTTTCATAACGCTTTTTGACTCTACTTAGGCTGGACTGGTAAATGGCTCTCGAACTTCCGATCTGAGGGCACCAAGCGCTTTAACCCCCGTTATACCCTGAAGTCAAGGCGAGCACAAAGCTCGAAAGTGTTTCGTATATTAACACTCACTGCACCAATGTTTCTGCCGCAGCCACCTTCAGGTGCAAGAACGCGCGGGCGCCGACGTGCACTGGTGCGTCGCGCTTAGGTTCTTGAAGCAGAGCTTACTCGGCAATCGAACACGATCCTAGACCAGATTTTCCGACAAAGTCCACAGCTTTTATAAACTCTTACACCTGTTTATATAACTGCCCCATTATTCTCGCCGCAGCTACCTTCAGCTGCAAGAACGCCGCAGGCGCTGACGTGGACTGGTGGGTCGCGCTCAAGTTTCCGAAGCAGAGCGCCACAAATCCGGACGGCGGGATGTACGCCTACATTGACAGCACGACCGATCTGACGGCTATCAACGCGTGGGCGATCGAGACCAACATGCAAACCACCGCGCGCGATGACGCGCTCGCAAACACTCTCTACCAGATGTACGACAACCAGGTAAGAGTTTTTACATCTTCGTGACTCTCTTTGGTTCGTTGAATGTGAATGCGCTATGTCTGCGCTGATTCTAAATACCACCTGCTCGATGACGCGCTTGCTCTACCAGATCTACGACAACCAGGTGAGAGTCACACCGCCGCAGTTCATTACAATGTCATCATCGGAATTGCGCTTCTTTTAGAAAGAGCCGCGAATTATTGCGCGCAATGACGCGCTCGTAAACATGCTCTACCAGACCTACAACAACTAGGTGTCAATCTTCACGCCGCCATAAATCTCTTTGATGAGATCAACGAGAAGCGCTGGCTCACGACTGGGAAAGCAGATCAGAGCGCTCACTGTGAGCGCAAAAGCTCTGCATTAGCGGTTCTTAATCACTGGAACGCCGTTCCAAATCCATTGATCACCAATCTCTTAACCGCTCTGTACCCCTTGTTATCCCGGCCACTGCCGGGTACGCCATGTGGAACGACGACTCCCCCCCTTCCGTAACAACAGCAACCGCAAAACCATGAATTGGCGCCGGGTCTTGATCACTGGAACGCCGTTTCAAACGCCTTAACCAGCTTGTCAACCGCTCTCTGACCGTTGTTTTCCAGGCCACCGCCGGGTACGCCATGTGGAACGACGACTACCCCCCCTCCGTGACGACGAGCGCGGGCTCCGGCGGCGCGCACGCCAAGGGGGTTTTAGGGTTTACCGCCAACCAGGGCTTCTACCTCGTGCACAGCGCGCCCAACTTCCCGGACCCGCCGTTGACCAGTAAGCCGTTCCGCCCGTGCCGTTCCGTTGCAGAATTAGTTGTCTGCCGGAATGTTCGGGCCCGTGCCCGTAAAGACATCGTCCGCCGGAATGCTCGCGCCAGTGCCGTTCCGTTGCTTGAATTGATCATCCGTACAATGGTTCACCGAATTCGCCTAGGCCCGTGCCGTTCCGATTGTAGCACGTGAATGGCTGGCGGAATACGCCGCTGCCGAAGAGAGGCGCTCAGCCAGACCCCTATGTCGCGGCACTCGCTAGAAATGAGATGGAAAGCAATGAAGACGTCGTCATTTGTTCTATCAACCAGTGTCGAACGGTGAAAGTGGTCGCCAAAAGTTGGTCGACATAAGCACCTGGGGTCGGTGGGTCCCATGCCTGTCTTCGGCTGATGCTGATTGCAGTGTGACTTTTGGAACCAGCTCGTTAGCAAATATGCTCACCCCACACACGGGTTAAGCTAACCACCTTGTGCGTCCTTTTTCAAGCAATTACGCCGGCATCTCCTCGGGCCAGCTGATCTACGGCCAGAGCTTCCTGTGCGCCACTCTCCCTGCCGCCCAGATCGACGGCGTTGCGAAGTTCATCCAAACCGCCGGTCTTTGGATCTACGACTCCCAGCTCCCGAGCGCAATCGCCGGGCCTTACCCGCATTTCGCGGCGCTTATTGCGGCCAAGGACGGGTCGCCCACACCGGGCGCCCCGACGACCGTTTCCGGGGGCACGGTGGCCACCTCCGGGGGCCAGGCGTTTGCGCTATTCGAGAAGGCTTCATCGTGAGCAAATTTAAAAGCTTGGCCCTTCTACTTTGAGGCTTCATCGTAAGAGATCTTAAGTGCATGTCAGCAACAACGCGCCTTTGATCTATGCCTGCGTTTCAAGTAGAATCGACTGCTCTCGTCTGCAAGCGATTTGAGTCAGTGAACGCCTGGAGAAAGCGTCATATGCTTTCAGAATCTTTGAGGGATGATCGAAGCTGTTTCCGAGGGCTCGATCGCCACGTCCGGAGCAGAGCCTTCACGCTCTTCCAGAAGGCTTCTTCGTGGGGAATAATGCGCATTCTACTCGATCATGCCTGTGCTTTCAAGAGCGAGATTCCGACTGCGTGTGCTTTGGATCGGCCAATGACCAAATGAATCGTCATATGCGCGTTGTTTGTTTGAATGATCATCGAAGTTGATTACGGGGGCACTGTCGCCACGTCCGCGGCCCACGCGCTTGCGCAATTTCAGGAGGCTTCTTCGTGAGTGGATCTGAAAGCGAGGCGCGCTGGGTTTTGACAGGCCTGTGCTTCAAAGATAGAGAGAGGGATTTTTTCCTGCAAGCGTCAGAAAGGACGTCTGAAGCAAGCGCTATCTGCTCCCCATCCCTTTGGGAGGTGTTCGCAGCCGTCGTTGACATCTTGTAATCCGTCCTTTGGTTCAGGGGTCCTAGTAATCTGGCCTTTAAAGCTCAAGGTATGAGCTGCATGCCCAGATCTCGCGATGCTGTCGTCACTCTCGCAATTCCCCAAGTCAGAGATCTTCCAACCGCGAAAAGGATTGAGTTCCTATAATCTTTACTTCTTCGACTCGACTTTCTAAATTTTGAAGTCGTACACCAAAACTCCTCTCCGTAAACCTCTGTCAAACCCTGCAGCACCGGCATCGGTTTGTACGAGTCCCTGGTGGAGCCATACTTCGGGCTGTCCATGGCCTGGGAGACGTGGCAGAACGGGTCCCCCAACCTCAACTCGTGCCCCACAATGGGCTCCACTCTCGGCTCGTACACTATCAGAAATATCACCGTGCCCGAGGCGCAGGCGATCTCGGCAACGACCGGCAAGTGGGCGGTGACGTGTAAGTCCTCGGTCA